ATTATCCGCGTTCGGCACTTAGGATGCGCTCCGTAGCTTTTCTGCTGACTTGTGTTGAAAACTTGTCGAGCACCACGTTTTCATGAATTGGGAAGCCAGGTCAGCCTCTGCCTGCCTGGGTGAAGGAAACTGAGGTAAATACAAGCTTGAAGAGAACCCCATCAGAGTGGCCTGAGGCAAGAGAGGAAGAAATGGCTTATAAAAAGTGTATCCTTGCCGGTGGAGGTGGCGCACGCCTTTAATCCCAGCACTCGGGAGGCAGAGTCAGGCGGATCTCTGAGTTCGAGGTCAGCCTGGTCTACAGAGTGAGTGCCAGGGCAGGCTCCAAAGCCACACAGAGAAACCCTGTGTTGAAAAACCACACACACACAAAGAGAGAGATGGCTCAGCAGTTAAGACACTTTGCTGCCGAGGACTCAGGATTCGGTTCCCAGCACCCACACCGTGGCTCACTTGCCTGTAAACACCAGTTCCGGGCTATCTGACTCCCTCCTTTGGCCGCTGCTGGTGCCCTTATATACTAACACATTCACATAAATATTTTTAAGAAGCATATTTTAAGGGTCACAGAGACTTAAGAAAGTGAAACCTAGGAACCTGCATTTGTCCAGATTTTTCTAACACCCCCACAGTTAGTTTTTTGACCTTGTTATGCATGCACACAGCTTTGCTATTGTGTGGGCTCTGAATGTGGAATTAACTGCTTCTGGCCTTATCAGGAATCCCTTGTGGATTTGTGAAGATGCAGCTTATCTAGGTGGCCCCCAATTCTGCTCTTTCTGGCAAGCTCCCAGGGCATGCTGATGGCCACAAGATCACAAGAGTGATGGTTCTGAGGCTTAGCTGCACTTTGGGATCACCTGGGAAGTTGGGTGGGCGGGGAATCCAAATACCCAGGCTCTTGCTACAATTAAATCGACCTCTGGAGGAGGGACCAGGCTATCATTCTCTCCCTGAGATAATTCCAACGTGCAGCTAATTTAAAAACCACTCCCCAAAAGCTCTCCTCCAGGCACGGTCCTTTCTTTAATCAGCACCATAAACATCACGTGGAAATGCACTTTTCTTTTTCAGAGCAGGGAGATTTGAACCCAGGGCTTCATGTGATGGGAGAGCACCCTGCTACTGAGCTATCCCCCAGTCCTCACCTCTTTTTTTTGGGGGGGGGGCAGGACATAGCATAGGCTAGACTGGAACTAGCTTTGTAGCCGAGGATGGATGGCCTTGAACTCCTGGACCTCCTGCTCCCATTTCCCAAGCGCTGGGATTACACCTATGTGCCAGCCTGTCTGAGCTTCCGCCCTTTTTTAAGGATCTTTTTAAGGATCTTACTACGTAGGCCTGGAACTCACTATGTAGACTGGGTGGGCCTGCAACTCACCTAAGCCTGGTCTCTGCCTGGGAGTGCTGGGATTGAAGGTGTGCTGGGATTGAAGGTGTGTGCCACCACACCCAGCAGCCATTTTAAAACTTGATTTGAGGCAGGCCCTTGACACAGCTAGGCAAGTACCCTGCGGTGAACTGCTGCATTCCTGACCCTTGAGAAACATTTACTCTGTGTGTATGGGTGTTTAGCCAACGTGCATGTCTATGCAAAACGTGTGTGCCTAGTACCCAGCGAGATCAGAAAAGGATGTCATACCCTGGGGACTGGAGTTACAGACCATTGTGGGCTGCCACACAGGGCGATGGGAATCAAACTCAGGTCCTCGGAAGAACAACCAATGTGCTTAACCACGGAGAAACCTCCCAGCCAACTCCCTTTGCTGCCATTGTGTGTACGTGTGTACACAGGCATGTATTGAATGTACTGTGCAGGGTGAAAGTGTTTGTGCTTGTGAAGGCCAAACCAACCTTATCAGTAGTTTTCGTTTTTGTTTTTAAGATGGCCCACTCATCAGGACCTGGGACTCACTGATGGCGGCTTGCATGCCCCAGTGATCCACCTATCTCCACCTCCTCAGCTTTGGGATGGTAAATACATGCTGCCATTCCTGGCATTTTATATGGGTGCTGAGCACTGAATGGAGGTTCTTATGCCATTTTTCTTTCCAAGATGGGTTTCTCTGTGTAGTTCTGGCTGTCCTGGAACTCGCTCTGTAGCCCAGACTGACCTTGGACTCACAGAGATCTGCGCCCACCCCAAGGTTCTTATGCTTTTATGAAGAGCACTTTACCAACAGCGCTCGTGCTCTCTCTCTAGACCTTGCCCTAGCTTTTTCGAAAGCAGATTTTTTTCTACAGGCCAGGCTGGCCTTGAACTCACCATGTAGCCTAGATAGTTTTGACCATCTAACTTGCCTGCTCAGGTCCCGTGGGTAGCTAGGCTTACAAGCTGAAATACACGTGCTTGAGCTCTATCTTAGCAAAACTGAATCTGGAACTAGAAACCCTGTCTTAGAGAGCCCTCAAGGCATTCTGCAGCACGGTGAGCTCCGAGTCTCGCATCTTCATAGAGCATTCCTCTCTCCACTGACAATGTCAGATCAAAGTCCAGCAGGGACCGAACAGGGATTCTAAAGGGAGCGATGGACAAAGTGCTTTCCCTAGCAGACCCACAGGGGACTGGGATAAAGACAGAGAGAGGGGAGACAGGAGAAGGCCCAGAGGGAGGAATGGGGACCAGGAAGTCCAACCCTCACCAGTAGGGTCCATGTTCGGATCCTCAGAGTTAAGCTCAAGCTAGGAAAAACAGAGCCCAGCAGTGACTCTTGCTAACCTGCAGAATCACAGATTCCTAACACACCAAAGATGGTTTCTGTTGCTTACCTGGCTGGCATTTGTGCCTCCCAGGGCAGGGTACTTAGGCATGGCCCCCTCAGTCAACATGGATTAAAACCACTGGCTCCCCAATCAGCCCGGTGCTGGGTGCATTCTGCACACACTCCCCAGGTCTCCTAGGTGCCTCACCGTGCAGATGTGGATCTTGGACCAAGGAGGCATCTAGCCTGAGGGTCAACAATAATCCTATGACCTTTGTTGGGCCCTGGAGCTTTGTGGTGGCCATACTGTTTGGCCGTGATGCTGAGGTTCTCAGGGGGTGGGTGGTGATGTCAGAAATGGACGGGGCTTTTCTCTTCTTAGATTCCAGGACAGGAGCAGAAGAGATACCTGGACTGGAAACCCCATAGCTCTGACTCCTCTGGGTCTTTCACAAATAATCACACCCTCTGGTCAGAGCCTGACACTGTGCATTTAATTGTACTCTTTCTAGAAAACCACTTCCTTTACCCATGTAAGTAAAAAAGACGAGTGTGAGGAAGACCTCCGCCCATTTAACTGGGGCAGCAGCAGTCTGGGTTCTGGGGACACCCCGTTTCTTGGATGCTCTGGCCTTGGGCCAAGGACAGAGCAGGGCAGGCTGCCTCCACCACAACTTCCTTGCCGGAGGTCGGTCACTTCAAAGCTCCAGTTGTCCATGTCCTTCCAGTGGGTGGCCACCCGGGGCCTGGCCCCTTCAGGTGGACATAGTGCCGCTTTTCTCACCCTTGACCTTGAGGAACTCAGCCATGCTAGAGAAATACTTCTGGTTGGCCTCTGCCACCTTCTTCTCAGCTGCTTGTGGGTTCACAATCTCCAGACCCTGGGTTGGGAAGGGAGGGGGGCAGGTAAGGTGGGGAGGCCCAGGCCTCCCTGCTGTATGGGAACCAGACATGTCACATTCCCCGAACATTCTAGCGGACACGGAACTGTTGACAGCCCCTGGAGTCTCCCTCAGCTCGGGAGATTCTGACCCAGTGGGTCTAGGGGCAGGGCCTGGGTATCAGCATTGTTAACGTCCTCAGGTGATGCTAAAAAAAACACCACTCCTGTCTGATTCTGGATGAGGAAACTGAGTCTTACAGGGACATGACCAGCCAGAGTTTCGGGCGACTCTCACGCCATACAGTGATGACAATGCCGGCACTCGCCTTTCACCCCTGCTGCTGCTTTCTGGCACCCATGGCCTAATACAGTATATACTTGACTCGTTCATCTGTCCTCCAACCCATGACCCCCCCAAAAGGCACAGCTTGTCTCTTTATCACTATACCTGAAGCCGGGAAGAAAGATGGCACAGATTCAGAGTATGCATTCTAGCAGGCTTGTCACATTACCGGACACATTTGCCTACCTCTGTGGTGAGTAACCCGAGGCCACTCTGCTTCATACTGTCCAGGGCCACTGGGCTGTGACACTGGGACCCACCTTGAGGCTACCCTGACGACTGGGGCTATCTCAAAGTGAGGACAGGAAGCTCAGAGTATCTGGGCCACACGGACAGAGTCCAGTGCCAAAGTTGGTCTGAGCTTGTGACAGCTCTCACTGCCAGCCATCTGCACTGAGTTGTGGCTCCGGATGCCTAAGCTCTTCATGTGTTAGGTCAACAGGGCTGCTACAACCCCACTACATGCCTGGTAGGAGAGGGTGTGGTACCTGGAGTGGAGTGAAGGCCACACTGGAGGCAGTCCCTGAGGAGCGGTCTCGGATGGTAGACTTCCCGCCGTACACCACACTCTGTTTCTGTAAGGTCCGCTGCAGGGAGAGGGGGAGGCCATGACGCAGGCTCACAGACCTCCGTGCCCTCCTTGCCGCCCACTCCCATGGGCCCTGGCCATACCTGCAGTGTTTTGGAGATCCTGGCCTTGGTGGCCTCATTCACCTGTGTCTGCCGCACACGCCCACTGCCTGACTTGCCCAAGTGGCCCAGGCTAAAGCCCAAATCTTCTTGATAGGCATCTTCCTCAATCTAGAGAGGGGAGTGACCGCTGTTAAGAAGCTGGCCACATTCGGCCAGTCCCCCAGGCCTGTCCACTGGGACCCAGGGAGTCTCCAATCAGCAGGTCTCACGGATGCCTGAAGGACTCACTGCACTAAATGACCTTGTAAGAGCCCAGCCTAGCTCTGCTTGGATGTAGCAGGGAACCCTAGGAAGAACTGCTTCCTGACCTAAACAGAGAGTGGCCACTGCTCCCTAAGCTCTGGTTAAGTTGCCAAGAACTGGGATGGGCTGCGCTACTGAGATGGCGCCTAAGTGGATTCTCTCGGGACCTCCTGGATGATGGTTAGACACGGTGGCATGGGGAGCTGGGTGGGAGGGCAGCGGGCTCAGAACTGCAAAGATCTCCATGGGGTAGGGTGTTTTGAGAGGAGAGGCTAGGCAGGAGGGAGGCTGGTGGGGTAGCCCCAGATCTGCTCTAGGGTTGCAGGGTGGAGGGGAGGGATGGCAGCAGGACATGCAGAGAACCCTCAAGGTCCCACTGCTACTGTGAGCAAGCCTGACCTCTCCAAAGCTCATGCGGTTGGCCTGCTTCCGGATCTCTGTCAGCCCCAGCCGCTCCTTCATCTTGCGGTACCTGGGGAAGGTGAGAGTCAACAGGACATAGGAAGGCTGTGGGGAAGGTGCCAGCCTCCCTCCCACCCCGCTTCCCAGCTTCTAGCGCCACCAGAGCCCCTTACCTGCGGCCCCCTCGCTTCTTCCGCTGCCCATCAAGGGGAGCAGGCAGGGGCTTCACCTGCTTCACAGGTGGTGGCTCCTGCCACTTGTCAAACTTGCGCTCAATCTCATCCTTTAGTTCGTACCCCACCTGGGCAGGGAGTTGGGGAGAAGCTGTAGCCAGCCACGCAGACTGTGCCCCAGGCCCCATGTCTGTACATCATCAGCCCATCTGTCCACCTGACAGTGTACCCTCCCCAAGACATATCTGTCCTCCTCGGGCCAGGGACGGTGTCCTGTGGGTTGTCAGTGCCTGGTGCCCCTTGCTCTTGTAGCTCGGGGTCAGCCCTTCCAGCCAAGTTCTGCACCCTGTGTGACTGCTTCCTTCCTGGTCCTTTGAACTGAAACGGGCCAGGCAGAACCCCTGTGTCCCCAGCAAGCAGACAGCGTGTCACCTCCACTCTCACTCTCACGCCAGAGCCCCCTGGCCTCTTAGAGCAGACCTCATCTGGCTCGCTTCTGTGCCTCCACAGCAGCCAGAGGCCCCAAAGGTGGCACACTGTCTGCTCCTAGGTGCAGCAGGCTCTTCTCCCTGTTGGGGTTCACCCAACTCTAGCCTCAGGTAGATTTATTTATTTATTATGTACACAGTGTTCTGCCTCCATATAAGCCTGCAGGCCAGAAGAGGGCACCAGATCTCATTACGGGTGGTTGTGAGCCACCATGTGGTTGCTGGGAATTGAAATCAGGACCTAGGCAGGGCATTGGTGGCGCACGCCTTTAATCCCAGCATTCGGGAGGCAGAGGCAGACAGATCTCTGAGTTCAAGGCTAGCCTGGTCTCCAGAGCGAGTGCCAGAATAGGCTCCAAAGCTACAGAGAAACCCTGTCTCGAAAAACCAAAAAGAAAAGAAAAGAAAAGAAAAGAGGACCTCTGGAAGAGCAGTCAGTGCTCTTAACCTTTGAGTCACCTCTCCAGCCCTAGCCTCAGGTACTTTGCACTCACTATTCCCTCTGTGTGAACACTCAAGTGGGTAACACAATATCCACACAACTGACCCTAACTTCACTCAGACCCATGCTGCAACTTGTACAAAGTGCTCGCTCACATCCTAGCTGAGTCAGAATCTAAGCTTCTTCACCCCACAATTCCCCTCATCATCCCTGGCATCCACACAGCACTCCTGGACCCATTACAGATTTTTCAGGCCTCTGCCTAGGTGTTTTGGCCCCAGCTAGAATGTAAGTCCTGTGTGACACCAACCTCTAATCCCAGTTACCAGGGAAGCTGGGGCAGAAGGGCCAAAGTTCTTCAAGGCTCCCCTGGACTAGAGAAGAGAAGAGACCTTATCTCAAGAAGAAAAAAAAAGGTGAGGGTGGGGACACTGAGGATGTAGCTCAATGAAAGAGCATTTGTCTAGGATGTATAAAGTTCTAGGCTCCATCCTCGTACCGCCTCCCCACAAAAAAGAGCCATGGAGGCAGGCATCAGTGGCGGTGTGTGTGTGTGTGTGTGTGTGTGTGTGTGTGTGTGTGTGTATGAGAGAGAGAGAGAGAGAGAGAGAGAGAGAGAGAGAGAGAGACTGAACCCTGACTTAAGATATGATGGAGTTTCTAGCAGAGTGGTGCACACAGCAGACACTCAGGACTTCCTAAGCCCACCCAGGAAAACAGAGGGTACTATTAGAGTCGTGTCCCTGCTAGCGGAGGACAGGCCCCTGAACACAGAGATGTGCCTTGGTGCCAGGCGTGCTGGTCTCTACAGTCTGTGACTGGAGTTCACATGGCAGAAGATCTTGGCAGATGTGACTAGGCTGAGGACTGAGACGTGACAATGCCTTGCACTGTCACTGTGAGCTCAACATTCTACACGGGGCCCCAAACTAGCAGAGTCCTAAAGGCTGGAGACGCTGTCTTGCTGGTGGCCTCTGGGGCTGACAGGGACAGGAACATTTCTTCCCAGGAGCCTACAAATGGGAACAGCTCAACTAACACCCTGGTGTTAGTCCAGTGGGACTGTGTGCGCGTGCGCACATGCGAGTATATGTGTGTGTGTGTGTGTGTGTGTGTGCGCGCGTGCGCACACATCTGAGGCCAGAGATTGATATCACATGGCTTCAAAACTCACTCCTCGCCTTGTTTCTTGAGGCAGGATCGCTATTAACCCTGGAGCTCAATGATCTGGTTGAAGGGCCCACAAGCCCCAGATAGCTCGTGTCTCCCCCTCCCTCCCCAGCACTGGCATTACAGGCATGCACTACTGGGTCTGTTTTTGTCCTCCACAGTTTTGGGAACTGACCTCAAGTCCTCACGCCTGCATGCAGGAACTTAACTGACTGAGCCACATCTAGCTCTAGCCCTGTGCTTTTTTTTTTTTCAAAGACAGTATCTCGCTCACTATGCAGCCACACCTGGCCCAAAACTCATCAAACGGCCCAAACTAGTGATCTGCCTGCCTCTTTCTCTCAAGTACTGGGTTAAAGATAGAAGCTACCAGGCTTGGCAAACGCGCCACCCCATCTACAGTGATTTGGTAGAGCTGCCCTACACAACTGACGCACGGAGGTGAGCAGGGGATAAGCACAGTGCGGTTGCAGACAGACAGTCAGGAGAGCGCTCGCAAGTAGCCTCTTCTCATGGAAAGACTCCAAGCCCCGGGCACAGATCCTGTCCTCTCACCTTGCCCTCCGTGCTCTCATGGAACCTGTCTACACGGCCTGCCAGAGTGCACTTGGCAGCCACCAGCCGGGCTGCCTTCCGCCGGAGATCCTGAAGCGATAGAAAGGGGAGAGAAAATTGTGAACGTCTAGAGAGAGGCAAAGTAACAGGCACAATAAGAAGGACTTCTCATCTAGGTCCAGCTGTACCCCGAGTTCTGGGAGGGGGGCCTCACACCTGGGGGCTTGTCTACTAACAGCCTCTTGAGGGGTGTACTCTAGCTGCCCAACTGCAGGCTTCCCAGCTTCCAGCCACCAAGGGGTGGGCGCACAATTGTGTCCTTGCCATCCCAACCCACGCTGTCGTATCCTCCAGGCTCCTGAGTGCTACTGTCAGCCAAACCAGGTAAGGCACGGGGGCTGGGGACGGTGGGCAGGGGCAGGGCTCACTGGGGGCAGGGACTGCACGATGTCACTGTGGTAGATGTAGCCGGTGTGCGGCAGCACTGAGGTAGAGGAGAAGCCCGACAGCGTCTTGCGCTGGGCTCCCAGCAGCATGATGTTGCAGGCAGGCATCTTGGAGAGATTGGTCAGGCCTCCGGCCACACCTGCAACAACAAAGAGGCGAGGTCGGAGGAACACAGGTTCACACCACACCTGGAGGCTCCTGTGGACCTTGGTGGTTTGAGTAAGAATGTCCTCCGATGGCTCGTGTATCTGAATGCTTAGTGACCGGGGAGCGAAACCTCTAATTAGATGAGAAGGGTTAGGAGGCGTGGCCTTGTTGGAAGAAGTGTGTCACGGGGGGTGGGCTTCGAGGTTTCAAAAGAATGCCAGATCCAATCTCTCTTTATGTTTCCAGATCAGGATGTAGCCCTCGGCTGCTTCTGCAGCACCACACCTGCCTGCTGCCATGCTCCCTGCTACCAAGCCATGATGACCACGATAATAGCTTTTGCCTCTAAAAGTGTCAGCAAGCCCCAGGTTGGGTTGGTTAAGTGCTTTCTTCCAGAAGAGTTACCTTGACCATGGTGTCTCTTCACAGTGTAGAACGGTGACTAAGACAATTTTGCACCTTCATTCGTTTGCTGGTTTGAGACAGTATTCTGTAGCTCAGGACCTCAAATTCAAAGCAATCCTCCTGCCTCAGCCTTCTAAACACTGGGATTACTGGTCTAAGCCACTTCGTCTGAAAGGCTACAGGATCATTTATGTGTATGCGTGTGTATGGGGGCGGGTTACTGTAGGGAGACACCGTAACCACGCCCTTCAGGATGTGGTCAAGGTGATGTCAGGGTGGTTTTAAAGGGACAGACAAGGCACATGGGAGCTCTCTCGCCTTGCTGCTTTGGCACCCTCTGGCTTGCTGTTGGTTGGCGTTTATCTATTAAAAGTTATCCTAACCTTCTGGATTCAGTATCAGTTATTCACCGCTTTAGGTTATTTTTATATGTGTGTGTGCATGAAAGCAGAGG